TACTTCATTCGGGTGACGCCTCAACGATTTTCAGTACTTGTCAATCAAATTGAACCGAGTACTCAAACCTTGCAGAATATAGTTTTTGCCTTCCTAGACAGAATACATGTTTGCAATTGTTTCTATTCAAACAGTATGGTGATTGCAGACCTACACTCCCAATCCATTTCCAATTGTCCATGTGGCCTTCATCTTGCATGCTTGGAGGACAAACTGTCGTGAGATACCATCACATGGAGGCTCAAAACAATTAAATTTGTGAAAAAGTTGTAGTTATTCATATTGACCAAATAAGTACAGTGTCACGTCCCAAAAATGGAAGTGACCGGCATGAGATGTGAACTACATCACACATCCCTTAAGCCTCAAATCGAGAAATTATTCCATTTCTAAAACATAGTTGGATTTATATTGTAATTCTAGTATCCTTAATAATATTAATTAGAACAAAAGCTTTAACATTTTTGTAGAAATTTTAACATAACTCTCTCGATAAGTAGGATTTTCTGAAATCTCTTAGAAAAGAAAAATGAGGATTCTTTCTATAGTTAACATGGAGCACCTAAACATAATTTTAAATTAAAGCACATAATTGAATATTTACATTAAAAAAAAAGGCATTTCCAACAATAAATATTCACCCACCACAGTTGTAAGCCCCTCAATGACAGGCAAGAGGTCCAACCTTAGCTAATGAGTTTAAGACCAAAAATATTTTTCAGTGAATAGCATTCCAAAAAAAAAATTTAAAAGAGTAAAAATAATAAACTCAAACAATTAAACAAATTAATTGAAGGTATGATAATTCAATATAATAAATTTAATAAATCTGTAAATTTTAATTATAACCATAAAATGAGAGTGAATTGAAAATTGCTTTATTCTATCATTCTTGAAGAAAACAAATTATCTACATTTAAATCAAAGTAATAAATTAACGAATTGAAAGCATTGAAATTTCAAATACCACTTGTTATGTAAAAATCTAAAATTTTGAGGACTTAATAGAATAAGTAACAAACGTGGACACACAGTCTATGAGAATAAATAACCAAACGCGGCTTATGCCACGAATACAAACATGGACATACAATTCACGAGAATAAGTAACCAAATGTAGCCGAGGCTACAAAACAAACGTGGACACACAGTTCACGAGGATAATGCTAATCAAACGCGGCTCGAAGCCACGAAAACAAATGTGAGTATGAGACCCATGAATAGCAAACGTGAGAATAAAACTCACGAAAATCAAACTAACTAGTCATTGACCATGGCGTGCTAAGAGCTAACGGGACTGCCGTTAACAACCAGTGTTCTACATAAAGTCCTCTAAAAATCAATTTTCAAACATGCGAGATGAATCATTTTTTTGAAATACAATTTACATTCTCAATATCAAACTCACATGAATCATTTCAAATCTCAAAACTTGCCAAAATAATATTTTATAGTTAATGTACAAGCTTGTATTAGTTGAGTAACCAAGAATTTTCAGAGTAAAATAAACAAAGATGCCTTCATCAATCTTGAAAATATATTTCGTAAAGAAAATACATGCACATACCACAATTTAATTAACTTTCATCATCATTCTATATTTTTCAAAACCAAAATGATTTAATTAACAAAGTACATAATAATCATTATAGTTGTGAAAATGATTTATATGAAAATATAATATTTTCAAAACCAGACTACTTTTATTGAAAAAAAATAATGGGGGTGCTATTCACTTACCTGCTAATTTCCTAAAATCTAATGATTTTCTCCCATCAATTTTTTTTATCAAAGTCCTCATCTTTCACACACCCTATAGGAGTAGGTATAAACGAAACCTCAATTTATTCTCTATAGTTATATAAACTTCATCCTATTACCAACGCAATCCTAACTGATTGCAAGTACTCGAAATTTCAAAACCAAAGTTCATATCTTAATAATTTTCCAAACATCAACACTTATTACCAATTTACCTCATATCACTTAATAATGACTATTATTCAAATGAGGCATGATTTTCTTATACCTTGTGTCAAACACCTTGTGTACATAATTACCAATCTATTCAATAAAACTTTTAAATCAAATACCTCTTGCCAAACAATTTTCTTTTTAAACTCCTACAATTAAATTCATTATACTTCTATCACCTATTTTTATCAGATATCTTCAACATCCTCAAAATCAAAAGATAAAACAATACCATAGTTGTAAATTTCTCAATATACCACTTCCAAGAATTCAACTAAAAACACTATCATTTCAAAATTAGATTCTTTGCAATACCTAAACTTAACTCATCTAAATAGCATTTAAATCAGCTATGCTATGTCTAATTTAATGGAATCTCACAAAAAATGCTGCTCCAAACAAAAATCCTATTCTATTAACTGAGATACATCCTCAAATATCCTTTTTCTTTCCATAATTAATAATTAGTACAGAGGAAAGGAAAAGAAAACATGCAGGCTTCTCAAGCTCAACTCCTCCTCCCAAATCAATTAAGCTTAAAAGAAGATTTAAACTCACATCTATATCCCTCTCATAGCAACAAATCCATGAATATATATTTCTTTTCTTCTCTTCTTTTATGTTAATTTCAGCTTGTTTGAATCACAATTTGTCCTTCCCAGTCAAACATGTACAGCATCACAGAAGAGTAAAATATTCTTCTTCAATTATCAAATCATACACCCACACGTACAGAATCCACAAGAAGGAAAGGTTATCATTTCTCACCTTAATTAGTAACAACAGAGAAAGGAAGGAAGGGGAAGGAGCTGACCAAACAGACGAAACACGGGAAAACAGAATTCATCACTCCAGCCACCAACAGCCACTGCATTCATTGACGGTGCATAGCTAGAAATAAGGGGAAAGAAGTTCGAAAACACCCACAGAACCGGAACGCCATAGCCACAGGCAAAGATGCAGAGGAAGGGACAAGAAGATCTGAATGCACCCACAGCCACATGAACCTAAAAGCACAATCGGCACTGGCGTTTTTAGTCGAAGAAGGAAGAAGCTTGAACGACGACACCCATAGCATCGGCGACGGCAGCAAACAGATGAGGTGGAGAACTAAGGTCATGTTTGGTACATTAGAATTGGATCTAAGAGAAATGGAATTGGAATTGGAATCATGCTTTCAATTGTTTGGTATGCATGAATCCAATTCCTTATGGATTTCAATTCCACCAAAATACCTAGAATTCAATTCCATCTCCATTATGATGGAATTGCTACAATTCCATGGAATTGTCATAAGTGCCCCACATACACACTCCATCATGATGGCTATGTTTTTTATTTTTTTATAAGGGCATTTTGGTCTTTATCTATTTTAAATACATATATTTATTAATATTATATTCAGATTCTATCTTCATACCAAACATACATTTATAACTCAATTCTATTCTAATTCCAATTTCGATTCCAATTCCAATTCCGATTCCGATTCTATCAAAAACTCTTCCATCATACCAAACGAGGCCTAAGATTTTCAGCCAGAGAGAATGAAGGTTCTGGAATAAACTCCCTCTCCATGGTTCAGATGCAAATTTATCGGGAAAGGAGAGAAGAGGGATAAAACAAAAAGAAATTCTCATACTTTAAGTTAGGGCAGTAGGGTAATTTCATAAGGCTGAAGAAAAATAGACTCCTTTTTAGCTTATAGATTTGATCCCTTTAATAGAAAGTTGGGCACTAAGAGAATTTCCATTAAACCACCTCATCTTTCTTCTTATATTTATCCTAAAATTAATAAAAATATATTTAAATGCCTCATCAGAAATTTCAATTTAATTAATTTAATTATTATTACTTTATTTTATTTATTTTTTATTTTTTTATTTTTTTAAACTTTTGGGCCACTACATATAGCCTCTAAATTTCTTTGCCAAAGATTGTTGATCTTCTTTGTAGTGAACAATTTGTAGACGCAATTCGAAATTGTCATATAGCATGTAATTAGAGAGTTGTTAAGTTGAATGGCAAAATTACAAGCTTTGGAAATAATTAATATAAGTTGATATTTTCAGTGTAAACATAATATTATTTGAAACATTGCCATAATTCACTTATTGAGCATAATATTATTTGAAACATTGTCATAATTCCACTTATTGAAATTATTTTGTTACATTCTTAGTTTGTGAGCAGGAATGGTGACCTTATGAAATATGAAGGGCTAACATCTGATCCCTAAATCTATGGATTCCTGAAATGGCAAAATAAGTTGTGCAAATCTATACTCATGGTTTTTTTATGTTTCTTTGGTCCGCAGGTACTCCAGTGTTATTGAAACTGGACCGGACGGTTCGACCACCACCTACTAAACAAAACAGTTTGGTTCAACCAGTTGAACCAATCTGGCATTGGAACCGGGTTGACCCAAATTGACCTGGTCGGTTTTGAGAGAACTAACTTTGACTCAAAAACCGAAGCTGATTCAACTCAATTCAAAGACAAATATATATATATATATATATATATATATAAGAAATTTAAACTAAGTCACTTAGATTCATGATTTCTCTTTTCTAATCCCTTTTTTCTTCTCTTCTTCAATCTCTAATCTCTCCTTCATGGCCCAAGCTCAATCCTCTAACTTCTCCTCCAACTCCTGTCTCCAGCTCTAGCGATCTAACCTTTGACATCAAGATCGAAAGCTTGTAAGTCATAATATGACAGTGTGCCTCCAGTTCTAGCATTTTCCTTCAAGATCACAAGCTTGTGCTGAAATGCCTCTGCCTTTGGCTCCAACGGTTCTAGCATCTAGCCTTTGGAATCAAAATCTAAAGCACTATCAACAAATTAATGTTTTATTTATATATTTACGCATATAAATATTATTTTTTATTTAATTTTTATATCACTAGTTTGACTGCCAATCTAACCGGTTAAACCATGAAAACCACGATCATTGTTCTTTCCGGTTCGATGTCCAGTCCGGGTTTCAAAACACTGAGGTACTCTGTAGCTATGGTTTACATATGCTTATTTGGCGTTTTGGAGGAAATGGAGCAAGTGTTATTCGGATTATTCGTTATACTGCCTTGCATTTTATGACAAATGAGTCGAACAAGTGCTGGATCTTGCAGAATTGTCCAATGTTAGGTTCAGGTTCTGTTGTTGATTTTTTAGCTGGATCCACAGCTGGAGGCACTTCAGTTTTATGCACATATCCTTTGGACCTTGCTCGTACAAAACTTGCTTATCAAGTAGGGATTTCCGCTAAACATTTTGACCCATTTGAAAATATTTGAGCTAGATGTCTATTAAAGCTTGGCTGGATAGAGTTTGGTAAAATGTAGCTGATAAGAAGTAGATCAGAAAGAACACGAATGATATTTATGGTTTAAATACTTGTGGCCTTTGGTTTATCTCATAAAAGGTGACACAGTCAACTATGAGTAGCAATGCATTCAATAAAATGTTAAAGAATGTTGGCTTAAAGATTCATTCATATTTAGGACAGTTTATTAGTATGTTTCAACTTAAGCCTCTTGAATGTAATGTGTCCTGTTCTCTTTAGGATCGTATTTCTAAAAAGAGCTAATTATGTGACATTTTCTTGCAACAATCCATGTTACTTCTTTTCTGTTTCTTTTTCTAAGAATATTTGTTAGTCACTTAAAATATGCACATGCATCAACTTTAGATTTTTTTTTTTAAATTCTTGTGTCGGGTGTAACAAGCTTATTTCTACCTTGAAATTAGTTGAACCTGTACCATTTATTTCATAAATTTATTCTGTAAGTGGTATTATATCCATTTCTTAGTGGCTTTAGAAGTAGAGGTTGTCTTTTAAGGATGGAATTGTTTGCATCATGCAATCGAAGTCTTTGTCAAAATGTTATAGGTGGTAGACGCAAGAAGTATAATGGACAACATGAAAGATGTTCTTCCTCTGCAAGCACATAATGGAATTAAAGGTGTACTTCTGGTGCCTACAAGGAAGGGGGAATTCGTGGTCTTTATAGAGGTGTAGGTATCTCTATCCCAGGATTTAGCCATAAAATTTTGTTGGTCCATTTCATGTTAAGAATTAGTTGCTATTGATAAAGAATGTGTTTGTCTTTAGCAGTATCCCTCTAAATTGTTTTGATGGTATATACGATTACGGGATTATTTTTTTAGTGCTATCTAGACTAATGGAATGTGAAGAATTCAATGCGTTTGACACTTTGACTGCCTGGTTTTTTTGTCCGGAGTCTTAAACTATTTTTAGCTTACACGCACATATCCCATGAATATGGTTAGATTCCAAAGTATTTTACCACTTTTGATTTATCATAAAGGTACAATTTCCATCAATTTTTGCTTCCTATCTGGAATATCAACTCTTTGTTTATGTCTACTTGCTTTTTTATTTTATTTTTTGTTCCAACTTCCTGTAATTAGCTGTGAAACTGCATGATATTATGATATTTTTTTTGAAAGGGCTTGACTTCATAGCAAGAGTTTTCTGGTTTTTATTTATTTGTATAGATAATTGAAGGTGACCACGTGGAGGCTCATGAATTGTGCACCAGAAGGGAATTTGCAAGATGACTAGTTCAATTAAATTATTTTCTAGAATGGTCAGTGTCTAACCAAAAGCATGAACATGGCTTTGCAGTTGGAAATGTGTTAGAGCTGAAACTTCCCTTTTTGGTTTTTTTTTAAATGGATTTTTTTATCTTTCATGAATCCAAAACGCAGAATTGCCTCCAATAGTTACACTCTCTGGGTCATTGGTTACTACTTTTGATGATATCAAGGTTGAAGATGCAGATTTTGCGGCCATTCAAGGTAAAAGATATGGTTGGTCTTTGCTCCTAGAATAAAATATGTTTTCTGCAGGCAGAAATTTAATAATTTTAGGCCCCCCCACCAATTTTTTTTTTTTTTTGCAATTAAAGCCTAAGCTGGAGCTAGTGTTATCTTCAAAAAGTTGGTTCAATTCTAGTGGACCTGAAGGTCAAGAGACCTTGAAATTCTTTCTTGATAAGTAAATTTATACTCACTTCTTTTCCTCATTAATGAATTTCTGTTTTGCTCTACTAATTATATGCTGTTTTTCAATAGCATAGAATGAATTATTATGCCACCTTAAGTTCTTAACCTTTAAGAAAATATATCATATTTTTAGCTTTGTTTTTTGACAAATTATAAGCACAGTAAATAAATGTCTTTACATGTATTCACTTGATTCATGATGCAACTAAGAAGAAATAGCAAAAAGCAAGCATGGGCAAGCTACTCAAAAATGCTTAATTGTTTGCCTTCATGTGAATGAGATTCTCATCAAGACTATTGTATTCCACTGACATCCAGTTTTATGATAGAATTTTGTATCATTGAGATAAGTTGTTTCATTGCCTCTCTCTCTTTATTAGATTGGAAGTTAAGGGCATTTAGTGCCTGAAAGTGAATTTCAGGGTCATGGGCTCCTACATAAACAATAGCCTACACCTTGCTTTCATCCTATATAATGCATAAGAGGATTTAAGATTAGCCTTTTGATGACCCATGGATCTTTCAAGTTATGCTAAGCTTATAGAAAGTACTTGTCTTTAATGTTTCCCAATTGATTTAACTTCTCTTAAATATTGTTGGATCCAAGAAAGTACCAAGCTTTTATAGCTGATTTTATTTGCTTTGGCATACTGTTTCTATAAATATTGTTCCAAAATTATTGGATCAAGAACAAGAGAGTTTCAGGACTTGATTTTAGCTGGCTCTCCTTTTATGTAACTTTCTATAATTCTATCAAACCCTAAATGTACTCATACCTATAGATATGAGAAATGTCAAGAGTCGCTTATTTGAGCAGTTATGGGAAATCATAGTCAAAATATGATTTTGATGGTCTCTTGATTTCACTGCAAATACTTGAACTATAATTCCAAAGAAATCCAATCCTCTCCTTGGAAGAGGCACATTAGGTATACTATATACTAAAGTAGCACATATACAGTGATTCTGAAAGTTGATGTTGCTAATTATTAATTATTAATTATAGAGCTTTGTTCTGTTCTTTTTTTTTTAATTTATCCTCATTCATGTTATTATTTAAACTGTGCAGATACAACTTGAGTTTGTCTACATCTTATCAAGGTCAAAATTTCTGAAAATGGCATTCATGAAAAAGGGTACACTGACGCGTTCTTTGACAATTGTGACTTGCCTACTTCGGCAGAGGCACATCTTTCTCCACAAGCATGAGTAGAAAGCAATGTTTTAAAAATGAATATCGTACGGAGAAAGTTAGTAATTATTAATTTTTGTAGTTTAATCAATTAAGTAAGTAGTTAAATTGATGGTATAATAATTAAATAAAAATAATATTAAATATATATGTAACATTAATATGAGAAACAAATTTACAGTATCCCTAATTGCTAATAAAATGACATAACATCATCATAAATTAACAATATTAAAAATTTCTTTTGTTGCCGCTGTTATGTTCTTTGTTTCTTCTTTTTGCTGCTATTTTTGCCTTGCCCAACTTCTTGAGCTTTGAACCCTTCTCTTTTGCTGCTGGTTTGCATTTCCTATGGTTTATGCCATGAAGTATCACTGTTAGCCAAAAAAAAATTGTAAATATTTAATTTAATTTAATATTTTTGTCTTTCCATCACTCCTCCCTATACTCATATATAATACCTTTCACATTTATATTTATATTTATAAATAAAAATGTTATGAAACAACAATTATAATATTTAATTTAATAAATTAATAAATACTATTATTCATGAACAACATAAAAATAATTTCACTTATCAAACATATCTATTCCATTAATTATAGGAGCATCCTTCAACAGCTATATTTTAATTTTTCTATTGGCAATGCGCATGAAGCCATTAGGGCATAGTGCCAGTGTGGGCCCCTGATTCCCTTCAATGGTGTTAAAAAAAATTATATATATATATATATATATATATGTATATATATTATAAATTATTAATATAAATTAAGTTGTTGATAATGATAAAACTAATTTTTAAATGAGAATATTCATTTAAGGACAGAAAACTTATAATTTTTTCTTTTAATTTTTTAAAATAATTTTACATATTTTATTTTAAAGAATAATTTAACATATTTCATTTTGTCTTTCCCATTTTCTACATCCATGGATAACATTTAATAATAGTAATAGGAATTGGAATGAGGATATCTATCAAATGAGGACACCATTTATATAACCGTACATGAATTTTACATTGCCTGTTACCTAATTAGCAATTTAGTAAAAGCAAATTCAATCAAAAAAATTAATAAAAGTAAATATATTATATAATAGGAAAAATACTATTTTGCTCTATACATTTTTCTTGGATTGTGATATAGGTTTCTACACTTTTTATGTGTGGATATTTTAGGTTTTATATTTTTCTCTATCTATAACATTAATTCTTACATATTTAAAGGAACGTTAATGTGGCATAAATAGCTGTTAATAATACTAATATGTCAATTAACACTATTAATTTTATATTTATGTATCAAACTCATGTTGATATAAATTTTTTAACAAGCAAAAATAAATAAAAAATTTATATTAGATAAAATAAAAAGATTGACATGAACTCTTAAATGATCGGTAGAAAGCACAAATTAAATAGACTCAAACCTTCATTTTCTAAGGCACAAAAGAGTTTAAATTAGCTTTTTATTTAATCTGATATAGCTTTTTAAAATTTTTGCTCATTAAAAATTTATGTCAGCATCAATTTAATACATAAGTATAAAATTAATTATATTAATTAACATATTATTATTATTAACACAAATATATTTCTTTAAAAATGTAAGGATCAACGATTTAGGCGGAAAAAAATGTAAAGACTTGGACAAAAAAAAGAAAAAGAAAAAACAAGCACATATTTCAAAACCAGAGAAAAATGCGCGGCTAAAAGTAGAGCTTTCCCGGTACAATAATATAATAATGTTTTGTCTCCTTCCATTTCAAATCTCGTGCTTTTTTCAACCTAATAAATAATAACATTAAAATTAATTGATGGCAGGTGAGAGAAGGATGACGGTTACTCTTTTTTTTTTTTTTTTTTATTTATTGGATACCCTAAAAGGCTCCAAACTTAACCGGCTACTCTCCCAACGTTCTAGTGTCCAAAAGGGAAAACCCTGGGTTCATGAATCGTCTTCTCTCCTCTTCTTTTTCCCGTGTGCTCAATGATCTGCGGCATTTCATTCGACTCTCATCTCCTCCGATGACTTCATCTATTCTCTGCGTTTTTTTTTTTCAAGTCTTATTTCCTGAACCGATTAAACCCTGTTCTATTCCCCAAACCCCTAAATTCCATAATTTCTATATCTTTCTTGCGCTGATAAGTCCTACTTAATTCCTCCAGTTTCCATCCCACTCGCGGAACCGCCGCGGCCGATCCTCCACCACCGTTCCTGTTTATCCACCCTCGCGGGGGTCACTGCCGTTTCCGTATCCTCCTCCACCACGGCTATACCAACTCCCACAGCCGTACCCGCCGCCGCCGCCGCCGCCTGCTCTTCCGCAAGACTGAGCTTCGTTCACCCTAATGTTCCGGCCATCAAGGCTCTGACCTTTCATGCCGTCGATCCTATCGATCCCTCATGGTCTGCTCTGATCCGCACTCTCTTGACCTTCCTGTCTCGTGATCTTTCGATTCGATAATGTGGCCGAACAGAGCAAAGGCCTTGCCAAGGGCATCTTTGTCTCTCTCCCCATTATTCTTCAAGGGCTCGAAGGTGTACTGTCTTATTATTAATAGTTTTTTTCTCGTACTGTTTTCCTCAATCTAGAAATTCTAGTTATGTTTGTCATTTGACTACGAATTAGGCCATGACTTGTTGAAAACAACAAAATGGCAGCAAAAGATGGCCGTAAAGAGGCATAAGGTGGCCAAACATTGCGTGGCTTCTTCCACGTGTTCAAGATGTCACTGATCGTATCAGGTACCAGGTAATTTCGTTTATTGCTCACAACACTGATATATTATTTCTTAATTTTCTGCTGATATTCTTGTCTTTTAAAGTTTAACTGCGTCACCTGGTTGATGTGACTAGTTAATTCAGAACTCCTAATGAATATAATGTTATTTGCTCTCATTTTCATAGTATTGTACATTTTGTGAGATATCCTTTCGAAAGGAGGGTTATTTTGTTGTTGATTGCTGGGTGGATTTATCATATTTTTTTAATACCTATTAGCATCCATCTTGTGTGTTTCGGAGCCAATACTTATATCTTATGGTCTGTGTCATGTTGTATTGTTGTTCACTACTTTTGTCAATCTAAGAAAGAATTTCTCAGTTAGAAAATACTACTACATTATTGTCCATGAAATTGTTTCGCAGCCACATGCTTGATACATTAAAACGACTCTACACAGCTTCCTTTTTTATAGATAACCATCACACCAATGTTCTCTATTATGATTGATGTAGGACTTGAGGAAACTGCTATTTGCATATACCATATATAATTAATTGCATTCTTTTTCTTTTTCCTCCAAGTGCTTTTTATTGATTTTTTTCTTACATTTTAAATATTTTTTAAATATAAGAATATCCTTTTAATCTTTGCACTTCCTATATTATTTATCTATATTTTAGGTCTGAACTTGATTTTTTTATTTAGCTTAGATATGTCTTGGAAAAAGCTTAATGTTTTATATTTTTCTTAATATCCTTCTCAGTTTTTAAATTAAAGTCATCATTTATGAATAATGTTAATCATGCATTCATAAAAAATGTGTGATATTTTCAAACATTTATAGTATTTCCATTAAAAAAAATGTTTTTGATTTGGGACTTGAGGAAACCACTACACACACCATATATTACTCACTGTATTGTTTTTCTATTTTTTTCCTCTTGTTTTTTGTTGATTTTTCCATACATTTTGAAGCTTTTTTAAATATAAACATTTTTTAAATCTTTGAACTTTCTATTATTTATCTATATTTTTTGTTTAAAATTTATTTTTTATTTTAGCTGAAATATATCATAAAAAAGTGCTTAGTGTTTTATAATTTTGTTGATGTCTTTCTCTCTTTTTAAATAAAAGCCATCATTTATGAAAAATGTTAATCATATGTGCATCATATTATCAAAGATTTATAGTATTTTCTTTTAAAAAAATATTTTTGATGTGGGACTTAAGGAACCGACCATGCAAACACACCTTTTATAACGCGTTGCATTCTTTCTCTTTTTTTCTTCCTTTTGCCTTTTGTTAATTTTTTCGTACATTTTAAAGCTCTTTTTTTTTTAATATAAGCTCATATTTTTAATATTTGCACTTCCTATTTTTTTATCTATATTATTTTGAACTTGATTTTTTTATTTAGCTGAAATATGTCTTCATAAAGTGCTTAACGCTTTATATTTTTATTGATATCTTTTTCAATTTTTAAATAAAATTCATCATTTCTAAATTATGGTAATCATATGCTCATAAAAATTGTATCCTATTATTATCAAACATTTATAGCATTTTCTTTAAAGAATTATATTTTTGATGGAGTATTTGAGGAAACCACCATGCACTCAGTCATATGTAACTTATTGCATTATTTCTTTCTTTCTTTCTTTTTTAAATGTGTTTTTTTGGTTGATTTTTTTTCCTTACATTTTAAAGTATTTTTTTTATTTTAAGCATATCTTTTTAATCTTTGCACTTCATATTGTTTTTGTATATTTCCGTATAAACTTCATTTTTTAGCTTAAATATGTCTTCAAGATCGAGCTCAATGCTTTATACTTTTCTATATATATATATATATATATTTTATATTTTTTAAATAAGTCATCTTTTATGAATAAAGTTAATTATATATTCATAAAAAAGTATCATGTTTTATGGATAATGTTGATATCTTTCCTAAATTTTTAAGTATAATTCATCATTTAAGAATTAGGGTCACCATATATTCATAAAAATTGTATCATATCATCAAACATTTATAGCATTTCCTTTTAAAAAATATATATATTTGATGTGGGAGTTGGGGAAACCACTACGAACACACTGCATATATAACTTATTACGTGCTTCCTCTTTTTTTTTTTTTAATGTGTATTCTTGTTGATATTTATCTTACTATTTTAATTTTTTCTTTTTCATTGCATTCTTTCTCTTTCTTAATTTTTAAAGAAAAATAATCTTTTATGAATAATGTTAATCATATATTCATAAAAATGTATCATATTATAAAACATTTACGTTATTTTCTTTATTTAAAAAATATTTTTGATGTGTGACTTTTGGAAACCACCATGCACTCACGCTACATATAAACTCATTGCATTCTTTCTGTTTTTTTTTTCCATGGAATTTCTGTTGATTTTCCCCACCATTTCAAAGCTTTTTCATAAATAAGAACGCATCTTTTTAATCTTTGTATTTCCTATTATTTATCCATATTTTTTGATTAAATTTGGCTTTAAGAAGTGCTTAAAATGTTATGTTTACTTAATATTTTTTTCAATTTTCAAATGAAAGCCGTCCATTAGGAAAACTGTTAATCATATATTCACAAAAAATGTATCATATTATCAACAACATTTAAAGTATTTTCTTATAAAACTTGAGGAAACCATGATGCATTCACACCATATATAACTCATTGCAAGCTTTCCCTTTTCTTTCGTTTCATTTTTTGTTAATTTTTTCTTACATTTTAAAGTTTTTTCTTTTTGAAAAATATCAGCTCATCTTTTAACAATTGCACTACCCATTCTTCATCTATAATTTTTGTTTAAACTTTATTTTTTTTGTTCTTTTTTAAATCGTGCATATTGTTGATTTCTTTTCCTTACATTTTAAAATTTTTTATTTCAAGCACATTTTTTAAATCTTTGCATCTCCTATTATTTATTTATGTTTTTGTATAAACTTATTTTGTAGCCTAAATATATCTTTAAAAAGTGCTCACTACTTTACATTTTCTAGATATCTTTTTAAAATTTAAATAAAAGTAATCTTTTATGAATATTGTTTAATGTATGATATTATAAAACATTTATGTTATTTTCTTTTTAAAAATATTTTTGATGTGGGGCTTTTGAAAACCATCATTCACTTACACCATATATAGGCTCATTATATTTCTCTCTCTGTTTTTTTTCCTTTTCTTTTTGTTAATTTTTCTTACATTTTAAAGCTTTTTTCTTTTTGAAAAATATGAGCTTATCTTTTTAACATTTCCAATTCCTATTTTCTTATCTATAATTTTGTAAACTTGATATTTTAATGTTCATTTTGTTTATTTTTTCTTACATTATAATTTTGTTATTTTAAGCACATTTTCTAAATCTTCACACTTCCTTTTTTTATGTACATTTTTGTATAAACTTCAATTTGTAGCTTAAATATATTTTCAAAAAAAGCTTGATGCTTTACGTGTTTCTAGATTCTAGATATAATTTTTTTAATAAAAGTCATCTTTTATGAATAATCTTTAATGTATGATATCCTAAAACATTTACAGTATTTTCTTTTTTTCAAAAATATTTTTTGATGTGGGACTTTTGAAAACAACGATTCAGCTACTCATTGTATTCTCTCTCTCTGTTCCCCCCCTTTCTCTCCCTTTTCTTAAGGTTAATTTTTCTTCTTACATTTTAAAGCTTTTTTCTTTTTGAAAAATAATAGCTCATCCTTTTAACATTTCCAATCCTATTCTTTTATCTATAATTTTTTAAACTTGATTTTTTTTATCTTTTGCTTCTCTTTTTTAAATGTGTATTTTGTTGATTTTTTTCTTACATTTTAATGTTTTTTTATATAAAGCACATTTTTTTTAAAATATTTGCCCTTCCTATTGTTTATCTATATTTTTATATAAACTTCATTTTGTAGCTTAAATATATCTTCAAAAATTGCTTAATGCTTTTTATAAATAAAGTTTATCATATATTTATAAAAATATACTCCCTTCGTTAAAAAATGTAAGACATTTTTAATTGAATCTCACTTTTTAATAAAGTAGTTAGTTACTTTCAATCTAACTCTATTTTTTTCATATTTATTTCTATTAAACACTTTACAATAAATATAAAGTAATTCATCGATAAAGATACTTAAAAAAAAGGTAATGATTACATCTCAAAAGACTACAAATGTTTTATATTTTTAAACATTTAACTCCTCAAAAAATGGACAGAGGAAGTATGTTATTATGAAACAATTGCAGTATTTTCTTATTGTTTTAAAAATATTTTTGATGTGAGACTTATGAAAATTGTCATTCACTTACATCATATGTAAACTCATTGCATTGTTTCTCTTTGTATTTTTCCGTTTCTTTTTTTTTTTTTTCCTTACATTTTGACGGTTTTTTTCTTTTTGAAAGATATTAGCTCATCTTTTTAACATTTCTAATTCCTTCTATAATGTTTGTAAACTTGATTTTTTTTTCTTGTGGTTCTCTCTTTTTAAATGTACATTTTGTTGATTTTTTTCTTACAATATAATTTTTTTTTATTTTGAGCACATTTTTAAAATTTTGGTACTTCCTATTATTTATGTATATTTTTGCATAAACTTCAATTTGTAGCTTAAAAATATTTTCAGAAAATGCTTGATGCTTTACATATTTTTAGGTATCTTTTTCAATTATTTAATGAAAATCATTTTTGATGAATATTGTTTAATGTATGATATTCCAAA